GAAGATATTTTGTAATTTTTCTACTCTAAATAGATCAACGTTTCATTTTTGTTTAGTAATACACATTGCCAAGAATTTGGACAACCTTAAATGCGATTTGTAGATTTGTTTTAAACCCTTTGTGTTTTTAAAATAATAAAAATAAAGGTAAAAAGGCACTGATTTACTAATGCTGAAATAAATTAAAGTTTAATTTTCTAATGTGTATGCGTTGAGATTTATTTAGTGAAGTAATTAAATTAATTATAGGGACAAACCCAACTATTTGGTGTACAAAAAAAGTGTCAATTAAATGTATTTGGAAAAACAACCCAATGTTGGGTTTGTCTATATTTTAGCCAATATTTTTAGAGTGTAGTAATTTAGTAACTAACCCAAGACTGCCTAAAAGTCTTTGGAAATTATTAAGTGAGTTTATAAATGAACACACGTCTCTACACTTGCCATTGAGACGACAAAATGCACACATTTGCACAACTTTGTAGATGCATGTGTTATGAAAGGACATCAAATGTGTGTGCAGATTTGTTGAACATCTCTGGCAATCACATCAAGTGCACAAAGAAAATGAGACTGCAGCAAAATGTACATTCCATGTACTCTACATGTGTGCAAATATGCAGGTTTGGTAATCCTTTAATGAAGAAAAACGTGTTTGATCCCCCCCAACCCCCACCAAAGAATGTAAGTGTGTGCAAATGTGAAAAACTTGGCATCATGGGCATTGAATTGTATGCAAATGCTTTACACATTTGCACATTCTCAAATACCCCTGTGTTCTGACATCATCAGATGCACTTTGCACACGTTCACACATGGATTTGCATTTGTGAATTGAAAATTACTGTAAATGTGTGGCATGGATTTGCCCACATGTACTGCTGAAGGCAGAATTATTAGCCCTCCTGTGAAAATTGTATTCATATTTAAATATTTCCCAAGTGATGTTTAACACAGAAAGGAAATGTACCTTTTATACTCCTTTTAGTGTTTCCTTTAATATTTTGTTTGTTGGAAAAATAATTATTTCAGGTCACGCTTTATTTTGATGGTCCGTTTGTCGAATTTAAGTTACAATGCATCCACATGTCAACTAATTCTCATTAGATTATAAGTAGACTGTTTGGTTGGGTTGGGGCTCTATTTTGACGGTCCATGCGCAGAGCGCAAAACGCAGGGCGCAAACGCTTTCAGGGCGTGTCAGGACGCGTTTTTGCTAATTTAAGGACGGGGAATCTGCCTTGCACCGCGGCACATGGTCTAAAGGGGTTGAGTTTATTTTCTTAATGAGTTATAGGTGTGTTTTGAGAATAAACCAATTAGAGTCTCATCTCCCATTCCCTTTAAGAGTCAGCTGCGTCGCACCAAGAGCGCATTCGCTATTTACAGGACGCAAAGTAAGTCTAAGTGGAAAAACTGAGCATTTCACTAGCAAACAGTTAACAGTTTTTTTAACAGAAAACTATTAAACAGAGCATCTACTGCGTGAGAATGAGAGATAATGGCACAGACATTAATTACGCACAGACATCAATTAGTCTATAAATAAATACTTTTGTTTGTGAAGCGCAAATATTCGTTTCAAAACTATTTCTAAATTCAGTTCTAATTTCCAGCAAACGAATAAATGAACAATAATAACAAAATGTGCTCAAAAACCTGAGTTATATCCTAAAACACATGCTGTGCCCCATATGGACTAAAACCTGAAAGGTGGGCAAATCTAAGCTTGTTTTAAATAAAACAAATATAAATATGGATATAATAAATAATACTGCTAATAATAATAACATTATACAAAAGCAAATTGTTATGAATGAACTGAAAAAGCCTCCCGAGATGAAGAAGACATAAAAGCAGTGATTTTTCATATTTATGTAGGCTAAAAAATAATATGTTTTGTAATATTTTAATCCTTTATATTTATATCCTATATATATTCTTATTATATCCTATATATATCCTTAATATTTAAATGTTTTCATATGTAAAGATATTTGCCTATTGCTCTCTTGTGCGTATTAAGCAGTGCGTAAGCAAGGCGCAACTCTGCGCCAGAGTTTACACCGGGTTGGTTTTGGTCTAATGAAAAATCTATTTTCTCAAAATATCGACGCGCCAGCAGTCCGCCTTAAAACGCCTTCCTTTTTAGAAACCAGCTTGACCAGCCTGGTTTAAGCTGGACATAGCTGGTTTTGGCTGGACTTCCAGCTTGGCTAGGCTGGTCAAGCTGGTTTTAGCTGGTCATCTCCCAGTCTGACCAGCTAAGACCAGGCTGGAAAAAGCTGGAAACCAGCCTGGATGTGGCCAAAACCCCTCTAAAACCAGCCTGGTCAACCTGCTAAAACCAGCCAACCAGCCTAGGCTGGTTTAAGCTGGATTTTCAGCAGGGCCCCAGAACATCTGCATGCATTTGCACTTTTTTTCATCTTTATATTGTGACATCATGAAAGGAGATTCACACATTTGCATTGTGGCATCATCAAACCAGTTTCACACATTCACATATGCTCATATGTCCTAGCGTTGTGACGTTACCAAACGAGCTGCACATTATCTCACACACACACATCTCCTAGCATTCTGACAACGTCATGTGAGTTTGGCGCATTCGCACATCATCACACGACTATTCCATTAGTCCAGCCTCAGTAAGTGATTGGTTTGTGCTCTGGTAATGCCGGAGACAGCGGTAGCTAACGCTAATGTTGTTTCCCATGTGAAACAGCAGCGCTCGCGAGTCTGCCAGATTTGTTCGCAGATAATTAAAAAACACCCTCCAGCCCCTCCTCCTCACTTTTCCGTCACTGCATTCATGCTCTTAAAGGGAAATTAATTGCCACAAAATGTTGAAATCAACATATCTAAACCCAGGTCGAAGGTCCCTGAGGATGGGCTAATTGGCCGTGAGGTTTTGTAATACTAAACCCAAGAGAGGGGATAAGTTTAGTGTAAGACCCCCTCTGCGTACACATGCTCATGTGTCATTAATCACATATCCTGTACACACACACACACACATACAGAAGACATGCTGTACAAGATGAGAAGGCTACCTCAGACTTGTTAGCACGCATGCCAGCTCTGTAATATAACAGCCACAACTCAATTTAGCTGTTTAACCTGTAATCCCTGCAATATTTATTGAAGTGCAAGCGGGAAGAAAATTAGGCTATTAGGCTCTTGCAATTGAATACATTGAGAGGGGAAAAGACACTCTGTTAACTGGCAGTTGACCTCTGCGGCCCGCAGCGAACGGTTTCATGGACGCGGACCACGGTAATTACTGCAAATTGAATCACAGAGCGAGCAGCGATGATTCTGTAATGAGCATTTTTATTGGCCGGAGCGCTTCGCTGCGACATGGCCCTCCCAGGCCTCTGTAGTGCAGCGCACCCACATAGAGAGTAGGACCCAATGGACCATGATCAGATGGAGATTTGTGTTCCTGAGGAGCCTGATGGGTAATTTCACACCATCACGCCACACAAGCTGCTGTCACAAGACATGGATCTCTGATGGGTCATTAGCATATCCTAACTTATTCACTACGGGTTTCTCTCCCTCGTTCTGGCTTGTTTGGAAAGTTGATGAAATTTGTCTTTAGTCGTCATTAAGTCTGCCTGTCTGTTAGCTGACACGGTCCCTTAGTAACATATGGTGTTTTTTGTACGATGTGATAGGATGCAAATTGCAAGAGCCCGAGCACGCAGTTATGTCGGGGGTAAGATTGTGAGCGCACACGCGCAAATGCGTATATTTATACATTGCACTCTTAATGTCCATCTGACGTCCTGTACGACCATCGGTGGAATATGGCTTGTTAATGAGGCTTCGGAATGTGTCCGTTGTTGACTTGGGCAGCTGTCCAGGGCTTGGAAATAAAAATGAACAGCCTGTGTGTATTTTAGCATCTAATCTCCGTCACCTCTTTTCTCTTGTCCCCACTCTCTTAGCATCTAGAATCCCTCCTGCCAGGTGTCCATTTAGCGGCTAGCCAATCCAAACACAGGCTGTGGTCATACAGAACCATTCACTCCCTCCAGTTTCTGAAATATGATTATCTTGACAATTATCTAGGGGCACACTTCAGCACTCAGACGTCTCTTCTAGTGTAAATTGTTAAAATAACTGCAAAATGAAACAGTTTTGTTTTTTAACAACAACACAAACTCCTGATAAAATGTTTAGAATTTCAGTCAGGGTCACTTCCTAGTGACTCGATTGCCACTAGATTACATATTATGACACACAAGACTCAATAGTAATGCATTTATTAAAATTTGATATCAAACAAATATTAGCGTAAGGGTGCTAACTGTGCCCCTGACTATGTCAGGCGTACGGACCTGTCAACATGATTCCCTTTCATTCTCTTTCTTTCTTAATCCTCTCTTTCTCTTTCTTTTGCCACAGAATTATCTCCATATGGAAATAGCGAAAGGTGGGGGGGAGTGAGTAGTTCTATATTAACGTCTGGCTGACATTAGCATTAGCACAATGAGTTGTGGCCTGTGGGCGATACCTGCCATCTGCATTAGGCTCCAGCCCTCGGGGAGCTTCCCTGCTCTCACTAACCCCCTAGTGTGACTAGTGTGATTCTGGGTGAGTCACTTACAGGCAGATCCTCTTTGACACAGCTTTAGAGAGCAGCCGGCCCTGCCACACAGTAGATAACCCGCTAGGCTATCAGAGGGCTCTTGTCTCCCCTCTTAGGGTGATGTAATTTTCATTCAATCTTTTAAAATGGCTGTCGCCGCAGTGCAATGAGATGTCTTTCACATGTTGCCCGTTTAATTTTTAAACAGAAATGATCCATGAACCTCGCCATAGAGGACTCTCTTAGCTTTGATTACATTCAGAGTCATCACCGAGAACAAACAGATGCTTAAATGACATGGAAGCTATTAAAGTCAAAACTCAGCTAGCATCATATAATAGAGTTTATAGCTTATATATGTATGTATATTAATTCCATCAACTTGTTTTGTGTCTTGCAGGAAAAGATGAGCCCTCCAGTTACATCTGCACCACTTGTAAGCAACCCTTTACGAGTGCGTGGTTTCTGCTGCAGCATGCACAGAACACCCATGGGATACGCATCTACCTGGACACCCACCCTACTAGCTGCTCTCTTACCCCTCGCATGGCTCTTCCTCCACCACTGGGGGCTGATGCCTTGCCTCGTTCCCCACTTGCCAGCTTTCTGGGTGATGGCAGCAACCCTTTCCAGCTGTTGCGTATGGGTGCCCCACTGCTACGAGAACCGCCGCATGGCTACATCGAGACCCGCTTGCCATCTACGCCACCCTTTGTAAGCCCTCCCCCACCACGCCATCCCCTAGAACGCCTTGGCCCAGAGGAGATGGGTCTTCTGTCCCAACATCCAAGTGCTTTTGAGCGGGTGATGCGAATGACACCAATGGGCATCCATGAACCCTCCATGGGCTTCTCTCAGCGTCTTCGTGAGTTGGCGGGAAACAACAACAATGGTGGTCCAACTCCGCCTCTTTCACCTAACCGCGTACCTCCCATGCATCGACTTCTCAGCCCCACTCTCTTCCAGCATGGCTCCAAAGCTCTACCGTTCCTACCCACACCCTCACAGCCACCATCAATTCCGTCAAGGGGAAATTCTTCATCCCCGCTAAACCAGGTCGGCAAAGCCAAGTCCTGTGAATTCTGTGGCAAGACTTTCAAGTTCCAAAGCAACTTGATTGTGCATAGACGTAGCCACACTGGCGAAAGACCTTATAAGTGCCATCTCTGTGACCATGCATGTTCACAGGCAAGCAAGCTAAAGCGCCACATGAAGACGCACATGCACAAATCAGGCTCTATGGGGAGTTCACCTGAGCAGGGAGGGCAAGATTCCGCTGGAGAGGGGCTTAAGAGCTGTGAGGATAATGGCACAAGGGAGGGAATCGATAATGAGGAGGAAGAAGATGATGAAGAGGAGGAGGAGGAGGAGGAAGAAGAGGAAGAGCAGCAAAATGGGAGCAGGCCTGATTCCAATCTAAGCATGGACTCGGAGTTGAGCAGAAACAGAGAGAATGGCCCAAGAACCACTCCAGAGGATAAGCCTCTGGCCACTGATAGAGTGACAGAAAGCCAATACAACAACCTCGACAATCACTTGAGACTGCCACCAGGCAGCAGACCATGTGAGGGGATGGACAGAGATTCACAAGCAAGGGAGATCGACAGGGACAGACAGCCCATGGTGAATGGCAGAGGCTGTGGCCCGGAGGATTCCATCTCTGCGATGTTCCATCGTAAGCCAATGCCCATTTCCAGCTCCAGCCTCTCTGGATCTTCCGCCAAGCGGATCAAGGTGGAGAAGGATGTCGAGCTGCCGCAGGTGCCCGTTATATCCCCTGAAAATGTGTATTCTCAGTTGCTTGCTGGCTATGCTGCATCTCGTCACTTCATAAGGGAGCCCTTCCTGGGCTTTAATGACTCTAGGCAATCGCCTTTTGGCACTCCTTCTGAGCACTCTTCATCTGAAACAGGAAGCCTGCGCTTCTCCACCCCTCCAGGGGAAATTCTTGAGGGTGGTGGTATGTCAGGGCGCAGTGACAGCAGTACACCTCACCTCCATTTGCGGGGTCCTGGGCCAGGAAGGCCACCTAGCTCCAAGGAGAGTCGACGGAGTGACACCTGTGAGTACTGTGGCAAGGTGTTCAAGAACTGCAGCAATCTGACCGTGCATCGGCGCAGCCACACAGGTGAGAGGCCTTACAAGTGTGACCTGTGCAGCTACGCTTGTGCCCAGAGCAGTAAGCTTACCCGGCACATGAAGACGCATGGGCAGTTTGGCAAAGAGGTGTATCGCTGTGACATTTGCCACATGCCCTTCAGCGTCTACAGCACCCTGGAAAAACACGTGAAGAAGTGGCACGGTGAGCATTTGCTGACCAGTGAGGTCAAACTTGAACAAGCTGACAGAGCTTGAGACCACTTAGCGATGCACTGCATTATGGGTTTAGCTGGATAGTCTTTTTCTTGACTATATATTTTTTTGGAGTGTTTTGTGTGTGTGTGTGTGTGTGTGTGTGAAAAACTGCCACCTGAGAAACAAGAACACAGGGAAATGTTAGTCTGTGGTTCTAAAAACCCTTCTCGCATATCCCAGTAACTAACAGAGGAGTAGTCCACTTGGAATTCTTGGAGCCTTTCTACTGTGCAATAATTTCTGTATTTATTGGATTATTTGTAATGACAAATGGCATGTGCCGGTACATTATGGATGGGTTTCTGATGCATTCTCTTTCTGAAATTATGTTTCTACACCCCATCTGATATGACAAATACTGAGATTTTGGCTTTCAGCCAGTTTTGTGTTCTAAACTAGTTTCCTCAAAGGAAACAAATGGGTAATTTCTAAAGAAGAGGTCAACTTCTAAAAATGAGAGAAATGTTTTACATTATCATTGCTGTCAATGGCCACACTTCTCATGGGTTATATTCAGTAGATAGATACAAAGCACTGAATGTCACTTTGACAATAAAATATTCAACAAGGGAGCAAAAAAACCCAGGGATGTTTTAAGGCAGCTGATAGGCAGTTTGACTGCATCTGAATGAATTTCTTTGGACAACTTGAAATGAAATTAGATTGAATGAAAGTTCCCCAACTAGTTCATATATGAGAATCACAACATAAAGATTCCCTGTATATAAACAGTGTTGAGGCCACCAGTGTTGCATTCCTGACTTATTTTTCCAAAGTAGATTTTTCATAGCCAATATTTTCAACACAATCTCACGGCAATTCGTAACTTTTTTATTTAGTGGCTAATTCGTTTGAATTTATACGATCTAATTTTTACAGTTTAGTACGATTTGCTCATCCCCCAATGACGGTTGGGTTTAGGGGTGTGGTTGGGTGCCACGCCTCCTTTTTAAATCGTACAATTTCATACAGCTGAACTCGAATGAATTCGAATGAATTATCCACTAAACTGCCAAAATGCAAAATACTTACGTTTTCTCGTGAGATCAGGCTGATATTTTAGATTTAAAGATCGACATGTTTACATTCACTCAAACTAGCATTCATTCCACTTCTTCATCTCATTCCTCAGCTATCTCCTTCAGGGGTTTACAAACCTCGCAAAACAAGGCCAAACACTTTCATAAGTATTATATTAGATTGTTTATCGTGCAGTCTTGACTAGTTCATAGTGGATGTTAAATTACCACTATTAAATTATCAAGGAACTATGTTCATTTATAAAATAAATCCATCCTGACAAAATGGCCGCTAAAATAACCACAGGTGCTCACCTGAAGTAACCGTAAACACAGGCCAATAATTTGCAGTAGCATTCCATGCACCATCCTGTGCGACGTTCAAACCGCAATCACTGAATTGTGTTGGGGCTTTCTGGAAGCCCTGGGTGACTGCCTGCCCTCTAAAGGATCCCAGGATTAAATAATTTCCTCATTACGACCTCTGTTCCCACACACTGAATCGCCTCCACCTGTTTCCTTTCATACATCGTCAGCTCAAATTTACACGAGCCTCCGTCACTCTTCTCCATTTGCATATTCACTAACATCCTGCCATTTGTATTCGGTGGCTTTTACAGTTTACATTTGTGACTTGAATTTTAAAAAAAAAGTTAAGCTAAAGCTGCACATGCTGCCCTCTTGAAAATTAAAGGGTGCGTTAAAAAAGAAATGTACAGCACAAGGACGAGAATCCTTTTTAAATATGGATGTGTAGTTTATCACCTACTTAGATCCTTTGCAAACCTCTCTTCGCGTAAATGACAGGACGTGGCCGCAACTTGAAAGAAAATCAGAAGGAAATGTGTTGTAGTCAAGGAAGCGAGACGAATTTAAGCGCTAGCAATGGCTTTTCGGAGACAGACAGAGCTAGACAACACGGACGTGCCTCAAATTGATATTCAGCCTTTATCTTCTGAAGCAGTACACACTCTAGATAGACAACAGAACAAATCTCGTTTGAGTTCATTTAGAGGAATCAAACCAAACACAGTGAAAGGATTATTAAAAGATGGTTGTACATTTATTGGGGAAATGTAAAGGGTGTTTCATTTTCAAGGAAACGTCTTAACGCACAGATTCGATTGAGAAAAGCCATTTCTTTACTCATTTGTTTAGATGGATTTCGAATTCTTGACAGTGGAGGTTAAACTGGACAATTGGAATCAAACAGAACTATGACACTGTCTACAAATGATGTTTACAGTGTTGAAGTATAAGGATACTGAGCTCTTCTGTATATGTGTTTTAAATGAGACGAACGTTTTGTCCTCTGTTTTTCTACAATATTGAATATCATAGCAGGGTTTTCTCCTTTCCCCCTTTGTTTCCTTCCCCATCCTTCCCTATTTTTTGGTGCAGGTATTTCCGTAAATTTCTATGGATATATGCCCGTTGTATGTTTTGTTCCTTGTTAAATACTCAATGTATTTGTAATTTCAGTGGCATTTTATGAAATGATGCAAAAAACAAAAACAAACAAAAAATCTTTATATTTTGCAGTCCATTATGAAATTGTGAGTCTATTCAAATGTTTTGTCACTATATCTGTACATAATTTTGGTAAATCCATCCACAGAAGGATGTAAAAAATACAATAAAAACGAAAACAAAAAGGACACGTCTGCTTATGTTCTATTATAATCCACTTAAACTTGCGCGTTAAGCCCAACGGGGCTGATTTGCATTGACCTTTGACCCCAAACACTTCACTAATTTGTCAAACCTCTATCTTCAACGCACCTGCCCTTCCTGCTCTTTAGTCTGAGGGTGGAGTGCGCAAAATCTCGTCTGACCTCTCTTGACCTCTCCCATCTTCGCCTCATCCCGTCTCGTCTTTTGTGAGGCAGGTGGGTCTTTTGTAGCTCCAACAATGTTTCATGTTGGGGAGGGGAAGCACTTAAAAACTCTTCATAGAACATTTACACATGGCCAGTCACAGCATTTCCTTTTGAATGAGCCACTCATGTGGAGACCTATAGGCTGACCTAGAGATATTGTAAACAAACAATTGTCTCGTAGGTCATTCATCACATGTCGACTTGTCCGTCCTTCAAGTTTAAGCTACGTATATGGAATGTCCGTTTGGGTTAGTTCACCCCAAAATGATTCCCTTTAAAACAGGGGTGTCCAAACTCAGTACTGGAGGGCTGGTGTCCTGCGTAATTTAGCTCCAATTTACTTCAACAGACCTGCCTGGAAGTTTCTAGTATACCTAGTAAGAGCTTGATTAGCTTGTTAAGGTGTGTTTGATTGGGGTTCGAATTAAAATATGATGGGCACCAGCCCTCCAGGACTCTCAAAAATCAAGAGTTCTGTCACTGGTGCGATACCTTCTCTGCAAGCACAGGATGTCAACGTCATCATGGGAATGGTGGATTTTGGTTGGAAATGAAAATCGGGTTGACATCAGAACCCAACATCAGGCCGACATCAATGTCTAAGCTAAAATCAACCTAAAATCAACCAGATATCAATCTCTAATGATGTTTTCCCTTGACATTGTGTGGACGTTACCCCTATGACATCTATCAGATGTTGCATTTTGGTCACTTTCCAACACAACTTATCAACCAAATCGTAATTTGGCGTCAAAGTAACATTGAATTTTAGTCACCTGACCTCACTTTCTAAATCAGGGGTGTCCAAAAGGTGGTCTTCGAGGGCCGGTGTTCTGCTGTCGTCAGCTCCAACTTGCTTCAACACACCTGCCAGGAAGTTTCTAGTACACCTAGTAAGAGCTTGATTAGCTTGTTCAGGTGTGTTTAATTGGGGTTCGAATTAAAATATGATGGACACTGGTTCTCCAGGACTGAGTTTGGACACCCCTGCTCTAAAGGTATCCTACACTCTCAGAAATCAAGGTATGAATTCTGTCACTGGTGCAACACCTTCCCTGCAGGCACAGGATGTCAAAGTCATCATGGGGACGTTGGACTTTGTTTGAAAATAAAAATCGGGTTGACATCAGAATCCAACGTCAGACGAACGTCAATGTCCAAGCTAAAATCAACCAAATATCAATGTCTAATCATGTTACACCTTGACATTGTGTGGACGTTACCCCTATGACATCTATCAAAAGTTGGATTTTGGTCACTTTCCAACACAACTTAAAATCAACCAAATCGTTATTGGACGTCAAAATAACATTGACCTTAGATGCTGGGTTAACATTGAATTTTGGTCCCCTGACATCATTATCTTTATCAGGGGTGCCCAAAAGGCGGTCTTCGAGGGCCGGTGTCCTGCTGTCTTCAGCTCAAACTTGCTTTAACACACCTGCTTGGAAGTTTCTAGTATACCTAGTAAGAGCTTGATTAGCTTGTTCAGGTAAGTTTAATTGGGGTTCGAATTAAAATATGATGGGCACTGGCCCTCCAGGACTGAGTTTGGACACCCCTGCTCTAAAGGTATCCTACACTCTCAGAAATCAAGGTCTGAATTCTATCACTGGTGCAATACCTTCCCTGCAGGTGGATGTCAACGTCATCATGGGGATGTTGGATTTTATTTGGAAATGAAAATCAGGTTGACGTCAGAGTCCAACATCCGACAAATCATCAACCTTAAAATCAACCTAAAATTAACCAAATATCAATGTCTGATCATGTTACACCTTGAAATTGTGTGGACGTTATCACTATGACATCTATCAAATGTTGCATTTTGCTCACTTTACAACACAACTTAAAATCAACCAAATCGTTATTTGGCGTCAAAATAACATTGAATTTTGGTCTTCTGACCACATTATCTAAATCAGGGGTGTCCAAAAAGGCGGTCTTCGAGGGTCGGTGCCCTGCTGTCTTCAGCCCAAACTTGCTTCAACACACCTGCCAGGAAGTTTCTAGTACACCTAGTAAGAGCTTGATTAGCTTGTTCAGGTGTGTTGATTGGGGTTCGAATTAAAATATGATGGACACTGGTTCTCCAGGACTGAGTTTGGACACCCCTGCTCTAAAGGTATCCTACACTCTCAGAAATCAAGGTCTGAATTCTGTCACTGATGCAATACCTTCCCTGCAGGCACAGGATGTCAACGTCTTCATGGGGACGTTGGATTTTATTTGGAAATGAAAATCAAGTTGACGTCAGAGTCCAACATCAGGCCGACAAATCATCAACCTTAAAATCAACCTAAAATTAACCAAATATCAATGTCTGATCATGTTACACCTTGAAATTGTGTGGACGTTACCACTATGACATCTATCAAACGTTGCATTTTGCTCACTTTCCAACACAACTTAAAATCAACCAAATCGTTATAGGACGTCAAAATAACATTTTTCTTAGATGCTGGCTAAACATTGAATTTTCGTCACCTGGCTTCATGATCTAAATCAGGGGTGTCCAAAGTCGGTCCTGAAGGGCCGGTGTCCAGCTGAGTTTAGCTCCAACTTGCTTCAAGGTAAGCTTGTTCAGGTAAACTCTCCAGAACACTGGCCCTCCAGGACCGAGTGTAGACACCCCTGATCTAGCCTAAATCTAACCTAATTCTAGCGTCTTATGATGTTGTGGGCCTGCTGCATTTTCAAAAGGTTCACATTTGTACGTAAAGAATTCATATTGGTACCAAAACATTTTAATAGGGAAACTTTGGTACTTTTTTAAGTACTAATGAGGGTTGGGAAGCAAGCCTCGTTGCCAGTGTCTAATAAACTGCATGCATCCATAATACAAAGACCTCACATGGCTCCAGGGGGTGACCAAAGGTCTTCTGTAGTAAATTGATGAGGTTTTTGACATACAGTTGAAGTCAGAAATATTAGCCCCCTTTGATTTTTTTCCTCTTTTTAAATATTTCCCAAACGATGTTTAATATAGCAAGGACATTTTCACAGTATGTCTGATAATTCTTCTGGAGAAAGTCTCATTTGTTTTATTTCAGCTAGAATAAAAGCAGTTTTTCATTAAAAAAA